AAAACGCGTTTTAAAACATCGACAATTAAAAATAAATTAAACTTTTATAACATTTCAATTGAACGGCAGTTTAATCACCACTCGTCACACGTCACAATAACCGCACCGCCGTATTATATTATTCGATTGGTTGTCTGCGCCCAGACTAATAATAATTATTATTGACACTGCGCAAACGAATCAATTAAAATGTGAAAAAAATAAAAAGTAAAAACAAAACGAGTTTACAAATGACCAGTAATTCCGCACCGCACAGCACGTCCTCCGACCGACCGGTCGATCGATCTGCGCCGATGGATTTTGATTAGCCCGCATGGCAACCGCATATCGCATATTATACGTGTACATCAAGAGTTTAAAATATAATATTATTATAAATATACGCAATGACAGACCATGATAGACGTACAATATTGTAATATTATTAGTATAAGCGTGCTGGTTATAATTTTGATTCCGGAACACAAGTTGTTTTTTTCCCCTCACACATACCGCTATAAGTGGACACCCCTCATCACCACCTCACCAGCTCTAGAGGATAACACACTACGGAAACGACGACGACGTCGACGGTCGACGCATTGTGCAACATTTCAAAAGCAAACAGTATTTGTCCACATATACTGCACGTCTGCACACACACATACACACACGTGTATAGGTATAATATAATAATAATTACTTAACGTCGGAACCGAATTCGTTATTAAGAGAGAAACGTCGTCGCGACTATAGTGTTGTAATCTCTATAACGGCGCGGTGGCTGCGGTGTTGATTAATGGCAGTCTCTGCCGACGAAAGTTTGTATATATATTATATTTGTATTTATTAAAACTGCGTGTAGTCCTATAATATAAAGTACGAAGCGTGGACCACATGAGTGTACTTTCATGGGACGTCATTTCATATAGGTCCCCGTGCTCGTGTTTCGCCGGCCTAGTCGTTGCAGTCGCTTCAGCGGTGAGATGGAACGGACTTTTGAAAAACGATTCGCTGAAACATAAAGCCGAGCACCGGATTCGACCACCACCGCCCAACGACAACCCCCCCCACAACCACACGAACAACAGTCACGAGACACATATTATATACAGCCCAAGACGTGGCGTGAAATTTAATTTTGATGCTCTAATGGTATTTTTAATCACGATCAACTCGTCACGTAAAGGCGTACATCACATGATTATAATATTATGTGTATACTTACTGTGTAGGTATACTGTTTATAGGTTTCAACTTTAAATATAATAATACCTATCAAAATATTATTTTAATTCAAACGTATTAAACACTAGACGTTTGGGTACTTAAGCTGCATTTTAACAAATCATAATATTATTTCCATGTAATTTATACTGTAAGACTATAGAGAAATACATTCTAAAGTCCGTCTTCTTAAAATGATCTTTATACTTTATTATTATGTATCGGTCAACACTGTACATCTGCACTTGGAAAACAATAATATAAAAATATCAAATTTAAAAATGTAAACCTCATAAATAACCATTTAAAGAAACCATTAGGTTCCATTTATGTATTATTTACATTTTCTTTATTTAAACTGTTGAGTGCTTATTACCTAAATGTTTAATCTTTTGTATAACAATTCAATATTTTATGTTACATAAAGTACCTACTTTCTATAATTTATTTTTAATTTTTCCCTCAGTTGAAATATTAATTTATTAGTCTCATTTTTGGTGTCTGGAATAGAAATTAAACATTAATTTTAAATAATGAATAAAGTTTTAAAATAATTCACTGTGCTCGGTATACAATTAGTATATAATAAGAAAAATGATAACGCAAAATTCTATTCCACAAATTCAAAGTTATTAGTTTTAACTTTCTTTGTATCATGTTTTCAAAAAAAAAAAAAAAAAATAAAATAATTCGGTGGTTGTCACAACGCACAAGTTATAATAAACGTACAGCCGTACAGGTAGTACACGCAATGCATGTACCTACTTACCATAATTTTCAATTAACAAAAAAAAAATACGAATTTGTTCCCTGCTTATTCATCAATTTGACCAACACACCCGCAGATGAAAGTTCGGTATGTAAAATCAAAATTCAAACGTACAAAGCGTATACAACACACGTGCGTTATACATTTTAATGAAATTACCGAAATGCTCACTCGTTGTGTTTATCAAAATAAAATTATTTAAATAAAATATAAACTATCGCACCACATAATAATGTACTTTAGTATAGTACTTTTGACACGTGCTAGACTTAATAGGGTTAGAATTATTTTGTGTAAACATTTTATTTTTATCGTAATTTGAATTTTTAATAGTGCGTGGTAGTATAAAACTATATTATAATATATGCACTTCGTTCTGACGCATTCCTACATTCCCGACGATGTAAACAATTCGAATTTAGAAGTAAATATCATATTAAACTTGGACTCTAAAAAATATAATAATTTCAAAGGGTGTTTAGTTTTACTATCTTAGCATAAATTATGGTCTAATTAATAATTATATTTTAGTTTAGCTAACATAAATTAATGGAATAAAACAGGATCGCTGTTTTCAATGTGCCTAATGACTTGTACACAATTAGTTTTGAGAAGTTGTATATAATATTGTGACAAAGTTAAATGCTTTACCGGGCTAGTTGATAAAGTTATCTAGTAACCATAGTTACAGAGAGCGATTATGAATAAGTACACATATATTCGTCAGATATTCAGGGCTGTTTTACGAGATAAACCGACAGCAATATTACGTCCGTGTTGTAAATATGCCTAACTGTAGGGGTCAGATTGCACAAAGTGAACACTTTCTTTTAAACTTTGTTGTAAGTGATATTAAAAACATGTGGGCTCATAAAAAGAAGCTTTGCGGGTTATTTTTTATCATCTAAAAGTTTTGATCAAGAAGTAAAACATTTTATGAGGAGTAAAAGAAAATGTAATATTTTAGTTCTACAAATAATTCAAAAAACATCATTTTACTTACGTACTGAAAAAAAGTGATTGTCGGGTTTTTACGGATTTGTTATATGGATGAAACTATAAACCAAATCAAAAAAGCATTTTTATTTTTATAAACTACTGGAAATTTATGTTTTAAAAATACTCATCAGACTTAAAATATTCTATCGTCTAAAACAATTATGACTATTGATGAATAATAACTACTATTCCAAATTATAGGTAAATATAAAGTTATACATTTAGGTACACGATTTATTTTATTTTATTTATCGGTCCTCAAAATTATATTATTTACCAGTTATAGTATAAGGCATAGGTCATATTCATTTACTTATTAGTTTTTACATATTTTAGTATTTCAAGTTGATTAACGAAAAGGGGTTTAAATAATCTGTAGGTAGTAACCAATTGTTATCCAAATAATGTTTATAATTATTAGTTTCATAACATCTGTGGTATAAAATTAATTAATTTTAAGTACAGGTAGCGTGCAGATGTGCAATTAATAATGCAAATATACATTGACATCTGTGATATAAATAGTTACTAAGTCACAGAGGTTGAACCAGAAAATACTACCAAATAACAAAAAGTCGACAATAAGCGGAAATTGGTTTGTTCCAGATAATTGAATACAACTTACAAGATGTAACTATATAAGCGTATTTATTGCACTTTGTATTTTGCTTCAACTAAAGATGACTATTGTTCTTTAAATAATTGCAGTTTATGATAGTAGATTCCTATATGGTATCAGTAAGATTTTAGATTTACGTGTACAAGGTTACCAAAGCGGTTATTACTTACACGTTTTAATTGTTGTACATTATATAACAATAACGGAAACATGTACAATACAATAAAATCCAAATAATAAGTAATCAATATATTCTTGGATAATTATTTTCACAATTGAAAAACTGCAACGTCGCCAGAGACATTTTTGACAAAACATTTTCAACTTGAAATCAAAATATTGAATAATGTGATATTGTGACTTATTATTATATTCTAAACCAGCGTTCTCAACCTTGTTAACTCCATGACCCCCAAAATAGGTAAAAAATAAAATCAGTCACCTTACAACCCTCTCCACCCTTATAATAAAAAACGTTTTAATATAAACCAATCTCAAATATCACATTAATCTATACTTTTTATCTTTTTATTTATTCATAGTTTATAGTAAATTTCGTCCCCATCCATGCACCATAAGTCCAAAAACATAATTTTTGACAGTCAGCTTTGGCAAATGTTTCAAACTTTAAGCGTATGCCAAAAGTAATCAAATTTTGTTTTTGTTTGTTGTAATTGATTTTCTTTTAAAAAAAGTAGGTATTTATGAATGGTTGTAAAAAATATGGCACTGTGAAATAATTACTTGTCATAAGTAGTTAAAATACAAATTATTAAGTTTGACTTAGCGACTTTTGCATAGTTAAATAGTTTACATGGACTTAGTGTGTTTTGCATGAATGTAATTGGTGACCTGGCATAACCTAAATTTATCAAAATCAATTCAATTCCATACAATTAGTAGTATTATATAAATTTTATTTTTAATGTAAATAAAAGGTTGTTTTTCCACATCAGCGTTCAATTATTTCTGACCGATGCGACCCCCAGGCTGAGAAACGCTGTTCTAGACTAAGATGCGCCCATTCATTAACTTAAAAAACAAATATAATAATTTGATATTTTGGTTTAGTTTTTTGTCAGTTAATCCATATTATTTTATTATTATATAATTTTTCGATTTTAAAATGTTTGACGTCGTATATAGTTACATAATGTTTAGAGTTACATACGACATACCTAATAATATTCCAGTAATATAATGTATTAATCAAGTGCGGTATTAACCCGTGCACAATAATATCTACTCTGTTTATCAACAGCATCTGACGGTGAACGATACAATTAATGCTACAATATTATTATATTATACACGACCCGACATCAAACATAATAATATTACACGCTTATCAATCGTATACAATAATCGTATTATAATAATATTATGATTATTACAATCGTAATATTATTATTGGCGTTGTGTCATTGCTTCGCGTTCAAACCCGTTAGGCGGCCGTGGTCGCGAATAAAATAATATTACATTCCTCGGGTATTGGCCGCGGGTGTCGGCGGCCGAGTGTTCCGGACTGGCGAACTTATGGAAGTAGACGAGTTCCGCGACGAAAGCGATACCGCTCGCGATCAGTCCAATCATGAGGCACATGAACGCGATCACCACGTTCTTGAAGGTGAACACTTTGTGAGGGTCTTTCCGGTGATGATAATCGGATATCGGCCGGAACGGTTTTGCGTGCATAAACCAACTGTTGACGATGCCGCTTTCCACGAACGTGGTGATTATGCGGTCCACGACGTGTATGAACGGCACGTCTCGGCGGACCAGGTAGACGATGTGGAATGACCGCGGACATTCGTCCACGATGTGCAACAGCACTTCGTTGTTTTCCACGTACGAGCTCGCGATTTTTTCCACCAGATCGTTTTTCCTCCCGATCGCAGCTGAAGTCTATTATTATTGTCGCGATACGATGATATATGAAAGAAAATAACGATACAAACATTTAATGTTATAGTTATCATAATAGGTATTATAAAAAAATATTATAGAGATCTATCAGATCTTATTGTTTATTATAATATGGTTACCGCTGTAAATTCATGTTTAACCCATACAACGTTGGCCACGTGCTGCGAAAAATATGTCCGTTTGACAATGTTTTATATTCGAAACCATTGACACTCTAGGTCAGGAGTCAGCAATTAAATTATATGCCGGTCCAGATAATTTGAACAAAAAATGTTCAGGGGCCAGAAAAACTTAAGTATCAGTTAATATACCTAATGTGTTTATTTTTGTGTTAAAAATACAGTTCAAGCTGTTTAAAGCAAATTATTCAATATAATAATATAATACAAGTCAGTTTTTTCTTTAATTTGGTAATCTTGGAGAAATGGAGAACAACAACTATGCGCAGTGTTTTCAAGATGGATATCGGTTAATCTTTAATAATAACGATATATATATTATTCTTTGAAAACGTCATTTTTGAGAACGAAGTATGTGGAGCCAAAATACAACATAAAAATAGATCAAATATCTATTATGTGCAGAAAACAGCATTAAAAAAAATATTCTTGGCGGTCCAGATATTTCCCTCCACGGGCCGCCTATTGCCGACCACTGCTCTAGGTCAACCGTTAAAATACATCGAATAACATTCGTTCGGAAATAAGACACTGTAAATATCATCATAAAATCTTATCGTCCAATTACGTATATATTATAATATACATCAATTATTTGTCTGTGACACATAATTGCATATTACGTCTGTGTCACTTCATCCAACTTGTTGCAATGTCATACGTCATACAACAATAAATAATAATATATTATTATATGACCTAGTAGTTTTGTTTTACTGAAAGGTTCATTTGCATATCGCCACCAAACAAATAATAAATTATCCTCAATCCCCCATTACCGCGGCACCTATTATTGTTATTTTATATTATACAGTTTACTTTTCAGTAGAAAATGTTGGAATATATTATATTATATATTTGATTCAAAACCTACCTATACAATAACATAATAGGTATTATAGAACATTATTTTAAAAGCCACATTATCGAAAAATCTGTTTATAAGATCTATAAGAATATCTAATGGGTTTTATTCAAAAGCGAGGTGTGTATCCAACTAAAATCTACTCAATCTTATTGACCTTTGGTACATAACTATATTCAAAATCTTATCTCATTAAGTCAAGCACTGCATCAATATATTATTATTTCATAAAATACCTACTCGATGCGTTTGTTTTGGTCGGATTTATTCGAACTCAACTATTCAAAAAGAATTTAGGAAGCCTGCAAAAATGTATGTTCTTAAATTCTTATATAATTTCAACTTTTTTTTTAGTGATTCGTTTTATAAAAGTTATATAATAATTTAATCAATAATCATGGTTTATATTTTAAATACTATTATACTGGAATTTATTTTGATTTTGAAAACCACTAAAATAATACAAATGTCATGACTTGAACTCTCTTCGATAAGTAATAATAATAACAAGATTCCATTACCCGTTTACTCGCCACTTCACCGAGTATGTCTAAGGACTTGTTGTTGACGATTGAAAAACGATCTGACATCTTCACGTACAGCGGTCTTTCGTCGGATTCGAATAACATTATCAGATTGTTGGAAGCCGAAAGCACCGGCATGCCGGTGTCGTATAGTTCTTGCACGGTGGCCACGTCCCGTTCGTATTTCGGATAGCTCAGATACTTGACCATGACCGCTTGCAGACTGGTTGCCATGATGAACCCGAACAGGACGGTGGAGACTACCATTAACCGTTCGGAAACGTTGCTCGGCACTCGATTCAGGGGTACCATCAAGAAAACTCTGAACAAGTTTATGGACAGAAGGGTGAGAGTGTACGGTTTGTTTGTTGTGCGCCGTATTAGGGTCCATGCACCCAGAGCCACGATAAACGAGCCGGCCAAACAGTACCAAAGCCGCACGTCGAACGCCGTGAATATAGCTCGCCATTGACTCATTTGCTGCGCCTTGGGCACGACGAAACACAGCTCATCGAACATCACCGGGGTCGTGTATTGGATCGTGTTGTTGGATTCGTATGCCTTGGATGAACAAATTAAAAAAAAATTCAACCGGATATCAACAGGCGCTCTTGAAAATAATATTTAATAGGTGTATATTTGTATCTACACGAATAGTAAAATAATAAGTGTTCTCACTGCGTTTGTGTTGATTATTATTATTTTTTTAAATAATTAATTTTCAGAATGCGAGGAGATGACAAATTAATTATAATTAGGTAGTTGGAAACACGCTCTTTATCAAAATTCACTAAGTACGTCGTATAGTTAAACGTTTCATTAGCTTTTCCATAGACTTATGTTTAAATAGTTTTCGAGAATGTAAATGGGAGTAAGGGGTACCTACCTATAGACAATAGCGCTGGTATAATAGAGGTATAAATTCTCGTACAAGTTTAGAATAGTTTGCAGATTCGAAAATTCCCAAACCTGATGTAAAATGTAACAATCTTGTATTTTCTACGTTAATTTTAATCCAAGGCACTATCTATGGTATGTAATTTGTAATTTGTATAATATACTAATGCAGAGACAATACAATGTTGTTGTGACCCATATTACTATTGTGCATATAATTTTAGTACTTTGGGTTTATGTCAAATTGTATTTAACCAGGAATTTGATTTTCAACTATTCGAAATTGAAAATCTTTATTATTTAATAACGAATTGAATACTGGCTATTTGGTAGTTGGTAGTTCGATAAAGAAATCAAATACTTGTTCTAGCTGTTATACTAACAAAAATACATGAAATTTGTAATTTTAAATTAAGGTTTAAAAAAATAGTTCTGTAGTATACATAATTTAAGGCTGTAGGTAGCCATTTTTCTCAATAATGAGATATAATTTTCCTTAAAAAAAAAGGATTTTCCTCAACTTTGCATGTTCTTCCAATAATAAATTAAGAATGTAATAAATATATTTTCAAGTCATATTATATAAGCAAAAAAAAAGTTACGACTTTACGATGTTATCGACTATAACTTTATCATACAATATTATAGAACACTTCAACACTGTTGTCTGCTAAAATACCAACTATTTTTTTTAAATATTTGGAGAAAAATGGACATATTATTTTAGTAAAACAAAATATTTGGAAAAAGATGGGATCTAACATTTTTTATGTAAAAGAAAACGGACAGTGGAGGAAAACGGTATCTCATTTTTGGAGGATAATAGACCTGCTCAAATATAATAATAGGTAGGTATGTTCTATATATAGAGTATAGACTATACCTAATATTAAGTATAAATAACGAAGGGTGTGTCAGGGGTGAAGCCCCCACGGATAGGTCCTATGTTAAAATGTCCTTCTATAATTCTATAAGACAGCGTAAGCCTTAACTGATCCAGTCCACGGGTATATAATAAATTAATAACAGTGACTTAAAACTCCACCACGATAAAATGAACCGTGATTTTCGATAAACAATTATTTGTTACCATACTATATATTCCATGTAGGGGGGGGGGGCAGAATCGTATACAACTCAAGGCATATTGAGTTGAATCAGTTATACCACTATTGTCTATTACCATTTAATCCAGAAATAAAAACATTTTAATCACTTTATATAGTTAAAAACTCAACATCAATTAAAAATTTTTTTTACAGAAATCACTCGATCACTGTGAAGTATCAGTCGCCTTTAAAAATACGCCACTACACCCGGATGTGTTGTATAATCCGTCTTACAGCATATTATGGTATGTCAGCGGCGTACTTTTAACATGAGTGCAGATAGTGCATGATAAATGATAATATAATGATTACGTCGAGGAAGACTCCGTTGAACGCCATGTCCACTTTGTTGTGCACCAAATCACCCAACAGGCCTGTGTACGTATAATTTGAGTCGGTACCGTTATCGGTGGTGACCGCGGAATTGGATTCGGAGCCGACGGACTCGGAGTTGGCTTCTGCCCAGCCGTACTTGCCGCCGTCGCTGGGTTCGCTGTAGATGGGCGTGAAGTTCATGTGCTTGGCCAGCGTGGCCGCAACGATTCCATCCATTCCCTTGTACGAGCCATCCGGCTGCTTGACCGCTTTGAGCCGGGTGGGAAACATGCATATGCGAACCGGATGACCGTTCAGGTCGGTCATCCTCTGCCGGGCGACCGCGCGCAGCCCAGCCGTGTCCACCGGCCACTCAGTGACCGCGTCCCGGAACGGGTTGTACGTGTACGTGGCCGCGGACCCTATGACCACCACATTGCCAGCGGATCGCCGTCGCCAGGCGGCCCGGAACAGTGCCCCGACCGCCGGCAGATTGACCGCGCCCGGCCGGGTCAGCCAAATTACGTAGTGCGACAGTTGGTCCAACGCGACCGCCACCGTGCCGTTGACGAACAGTCCGAGCACGGCGTCCACTGGTTCGGTGCCGTCGTCGATGTCGTCGTCGACGATCACCAGCACTGCCCGGCTACCACTGTTGGCGCGTGTCACGTCCTGGCCGTGATCCGTCGCTGGCGTGTGCATCAATACAGCCATGCCAATCAGATCGTGCACCGTTCTCAGGAACCCGGCGGGCGTCGCACCCAACGCGACCACGGACATCGCGAACGGCTGCTGGGCCAAGTCGACGGCGGTCATCCGGCACACTTTGATCACTATCGGCGTGTTCTGATGGTACGCCGCCGGCGAGAGGTCGGTGGCGGAAGTAGACGGCCGACGGCCGCGGAGGTGGTTAGCAGAGCGATGGCTCTACAGACGGCGCGTGCGACGTTTATCATATTGGCTGCAATGCGCGCGGACGACAACGACTAGTGAACGCGTTCACCAACCGTGTGCGCATAATAACGATGTGTCCACAGGACGCGTCGGCGTCCGTCATCGTAGTTATAATATTGTCAGGATTAATAATAATGTCATAATATCGAGATTGTCAATAGTTTGCTGGCGCCGATAACGTCAGTCGTCTTCGTCTATAATATTTCGGCCCGAAAAACATAACATATCATACGAGTATATGACGCACGTGATATAATATTATAATATTGTTACATTTTACACCTACAGTGCGAATCCACGTTCACCAATATTCATTATTATAATAACATGTATGACACTAAATACCTAAGGAACGATGAATTATTCATTCTCGATAACTTTATATAGAAACGTGGCGGGCGACGACGACGTTAGATTTTGATTTGACGTTTCGTTTCGAATATTATGCTCAGTGGCGCGTCGTATTGTAACGTAATGATGCATTATTTTATGCGTCAGCTACGGTAGTCATTAAATTTGCAGAAGGCGCACAATCGGATCCTAAAGATTTGACGAATGCCTTACCCCCGAGAGTGTAAAAAACACGCCCCAGAGGTCGTATAAATGTCGTCGATTTCGTTAAAATTAATGTACAATGCGATTGTGTAAAATAATTACTACCCACGACCACCACGTAACCATTCGACCAAAACCCTAAGATCATTCCAAGGAGATTGGGTATATTACTATAGTTTATTTTATTCCTAGTCTACTGTAGAGAATTATTCAGCGTCTATACGACGTATACCTACCTTGTAGTTTCGGAGTTTGAAAATGGATAGAAGATAAATTCGATAATATTACTGCAGGTATCATCTACGCTCTATATTAGTCATAGAACAACTACTAAAAAGTTTTGGGGAGGTTTGAGTGGGAAGGTGTACTTTGGCATCAATATTCTTCTTCATATTTGGCTATACAATTAAACAATAAGTACCTCAGCTGATGGACTTAGGTGCCGGGCTCAAGACCATTGAAAAAAAAAAAACCATAATGCGTAAAATAGAATATGAACCTATTTAGGTAAAGTATATTCATTATTTTATTATGTATATTATTAGTATAGTGGAACAAACTGTAATTAATGCAACTTCCAACTTTCCAATTTTTAAATTATTAAAATATTAAAACCCATACATGTGCCACATATTCATAAGATACATGTATTTACTATAATGAATAAAATGTATCCTAACAATAAAAATAAATTGGCCTGCCTAAAATAATTGGCACCCCTTTTAAATATACCTATTCGGATTTAAAATAAAATAAATCGTATGTAATTTTATTCAATTGTTATTGTTTTACTTTTTTGAATATAATATATAATACAAAGTCCAATAAATTTGAAATGTAGTTTTATTATTAAGTCATAATTCAATAATTATAGATTTTTGAATATTGATTCAAAAATGTAAAAAGTTTGTATAATACATTTTTATAAACACAAATTAAATACTAAGAAATATGTTTTGTTTTATGTTTTTCAAATAGCTGGTAATATAGATCCACCAAAACATTTATAGCCTACGGACTCAGCAGATTATTCCATGATTATCTATGCGATAGTTAAACACAGTGATAATGAGCTCATCTAATGAGAATGAACATAATATTTAAAATTATATTTAAGAGGAAAGTTTAAGTTGATCTGTAATCAGCTGACTATTTATAACTTTTAAGTATTTTTATAATATAAATTGTATAATATTAATATTAGTTGCATTCGAATGATAGGATAATTTCAGAGACACAGGGGTCAGATGTTAATAATAAATTCGTGTAGGAAACAATCAATTAGTAAAACATATAAGTATGTAGACTGTAAGAAACAACTAAAATGAAATATGACAATGAACTAAGGGCAGCAGCACAAAGTATCATAATTTTAATTAATTTTGAATTTGAATTTACAACCCCAAGTGTGATATTACATAAACATATTTATATGAATTTTAAGTGATTACATTTTAAAAGTTTTTTCAATCTTTACATTGTAACTGATAGCACATGACCTATAAAAAAAATACTTATCTTTGTAACTGAAGTAGTTTTAACTTTTAAGTATATTTAAGTATAATTTGAGTAGGTTAAGGTTTACAGTTTACACGTCGTCGTTGTCAATTAAAAAGTTTAAAAGTGTATAATTAAAACTAAACTATGTTTATATAAGTTGGAATATAAGTTATTAAAATGGTAAATATG